TGTTCCAGACTTTCAATGCAAATCAGCATCATTCACAATTTCACCTTGTGCTCAGGGCCTTCCCAAGTTTTTCAACAGGTCTTATTGCCATTTGCCCTGGAACACTGAGTTTCAGAACCAAGCTCAGTATCCAATTATTTAAGTCTTTTACAGGTTGTTCTTGAGATTCAGTGTGATTCTCAGTGCCTCCATGATGCTCAGTGCTTCTTCTAGCCTTGGAGTGAAGCTCTAAATCTTCCCAAGCAAAACACTGTTTAGGGCAAAGCAGGTTTTCTCAATGCATCTTAGGAACCTTGAGCAAGGACTCTGTGAAGATAAGTGTCATTCCCAGCATTAGAGTTGTGCTCTGCATCCTCCACAGTGTTCAATTTTTTATTAGGACTTTCCAAGTACAGTAGTATGACGAACAGCCTACAGTACTATTTCAGTGGATTTAATTACTCTGTGCAATATCTATTGGTGCTCAGATTCTTCCACCATTTGGGGGGATAATTGCCTTCCCTAGTGTCTTTTTGGGGAATAGAGCTTGCCAGTGTGTCATTATAACAGAGAGGTATTCTCATTGCCATGGTCATTCCTATTTCTCAGGGACTTCCTCACTGTGTCAGTGGCACTCAGGGCTACTCTGTTTCTTAGGGTAAGCTCAGGGCTTTCTGCAGGGTCTCAGTCTGGCTCAGTGCTTTCCCCAATGTCTTCCCCAGGTTCAGGGGATGCTCTTGGTCTTTTCTAATTGGATCTCACACTAATGTATAATTGGATCTCACACTAATGTTCTTCAATAAATAGCATTACAGTGGTGTTTGGGTCCTCCACCAGGGTCATTGGCATTGGCTGTTGCTCAAGGTCTCCTTGTTTGTCATGCTTTTCCAGCTTGACAATAAAGCTAATTGCCCTCTCATGTTCTCTATTGGGCCTCAATGACTTCCACATGGCATCTGCAGTTCTCAGGACTATCTCCAGGGTTTCATTGTAACTAAGGTGTTATATAGCATTTCAGGGTGTTCCAATGCTTTTCATGAGTTTGTGTAATTCAAAGGCCTACACAAGTGTCTCTTGATATTCAGGGTCTTCACTGGTGTTCAAACCTTTTCCAAGTGTTATGAGTGAATGCAGGGATTTTCACATCTCAAAAGCTGCTCATGTGCTCTAGTACTGATTCAGTGGATTGTGAATCCTCTCCCAGGGTCTCAGTGCATTTCATGATCTCCTCCAGTCACAGTCATGCTCAGACTGTTCCTTCAGAATCCTAGTGTTTTTTCTTCCTTTCATCATGCATTGAGTTCTGCCATTAGACATTCCCAGCCTACTAGTGTGTTTTAGGTTGTTTCTCAGGTTTTCAAAGAACCAAAGACTTTTCCCAGGGCCTCTGTGGAACTCATGGCCATGATCAGTCTCTCCATTTTTCTCAGGGCCTTTTTCAGTGTCTCAGTCAAGTTCAGTGCTATTTCCAAGGGGTCAGTGTGGACTAGACAATTCCCCGAGGACATACTAGATTCAGGGTTCCTGCCAGGGTCTCAGAAATATCTTAGCACCTTCCCCATGTTGTCATTGGAGTTCATTGTCATACCCAGGATCACAGTGTTGCTCAGGACCAACCCAGTTCCTTACTGTTAGAAGAAAGAGACTATGCTTCAGGCAAACTTCCCAGATAATTTTTGCTCTTATTCAGGAATAGGACTTCTCCAATGAAAATGCACCCACTTTCCTGGTGGAACATGAGCTACAAAGGAGGGAAATGGGCTTATATAGGTCGTGGGTGATTTAGTGACCATGTGAGTGTGGGCACTCAGGGATTTGAATCCTTGTGCTGAAGTGTTGGTGGCCAGAATTGGGAAAGGAGTTGTATTAAAGAAAATTAGTATTTCCTAGAAACTATCACTTCTAGATTTGCTGAGAGTCTTTCTCCTTTCTTGTGGTCAGTGTCTGGGAATAATTTTTCATGGGAGAGAAGAAAGTCATCATGGTATGGCTCTCTTTCCTATTTCTTTTCCTAGGTCTCAGTATTTGTGGGTATTTCTTTTTCTATATTTAATAGTTACTGAGTCTCAGGGCATTCCCCAGGGTCACAGTGGTGCCAGGGCCTTCTCTCCTATCTTAGAGGGTTCACAACCTTCCGGCCACTCACGAAAATTATATAATTCCCAGGTTCTGCTGGTATTTAGGGCTTGCCTCAGAGTCTTAGTGATCCTGCAGGCCTTCTTCAGGGCATTAGGGGGTTTCAAGGGTTTTTCCCAGTGTCATTGGGCTCAGTCCTACCTTAGAGTCTCAGGAGGGCTAGAGGCTTTCCCCAGAATTTCAATCTTATTTAGCAACTTTGACCTGGTGTTTGTGGTGATCAACATATTTCCCAGTGCTTAAAAGAGGCTAAATCCTCAGTAAGAGTTTCTGAGTGGTTAAGTTCACTCGCAGTTGTCTCAATGATATTCAAAATCTTCTTCAGAGTCTTTAGAAATCCAAGGACCTTTCTTAGGTTGACAAATGTATGCACAACATTCTCAAGAGACTTAGTGGTCTCATTTTATTTTCTTTTTCTTTTTTTAAAATCAGGATCACTGTGCATCTCAGCTCTGTTCCCAGTGTCACCATGTACTTGGGGTTTCCTGAGTCTCTCAACAGGTCACATCACCTTGTCTACAGGCTCACTGTGTTTCATATCCATTCTCAGAATCTTCTTCTCTTTCAGGGTCTTTTCCAGCTTCTTCATGAGGCTTGTTTCTATTCTTAGAGTCTCAGTAATGCTCACTGCTTCTCCTAGATTGGAGGTAGGTTCTAAGTTGCTCCCAACAAAATAGTGGTTTCAGGGTTTTTCAGGTTTTTTTGCTGAATCCCAGGATCTGTGTGGAGCTCAGTGCCATTTTCTACATTACAGTGTTCCTCAGCATCTTCTCCTGAGTGTGATTTTGTGTCAGGGTCTTCCCAAGAGACTTGAATAGGTCTAGGGTTAGCCTATTATTTCAGTGAGTTTAAGGACTCTGCAAAATGTCAAGTGGTGCTTACATTCTCCCACAGTATTCTGAATAAATAATGGCCTTCTCTAGTGTCTCAAAGGGGAATAGGACCTTGCTCAGTGTGCCATTGAAACTCAGGGATATTCCCATTGTCATAGTGGAGCTCTGGGTTTTTCCTTCTGTGTCACCAGCACACAGGACCATCCCACGTTTCTGAGTATAAACTTAGGGCTTACTCCAGAATCTTAGTCTGATTCAGTGCTTTCCAAATTGGCTTATACTGGCTCAGGGCATCCTCTAGCATCTTTATGGGGTCTTAGGTATTATTGTGTTTCAGATTCTCCCAGAGAACTTCTGTTGAGTTAAAGGTCATCAGTATCTCCTCAGTGGGTTTTAGAGTCTCCAGCAGTGTCTATGTTAAATTGTAGATTTTTCCCAGTTTATTTTGTGTTCCAGTGCTTTCCAAATCAATAGTGTGTTTCATGGCTTTTCCATTTTTCTTTGTAGGCCTCAGTACTTTCCCCAATATATCAGTAGGTCTCAGGACCTTTCCCAGGATTTCACTGTGGCTCAGGGTTGTCTGTCATATTTCAGGTGTGTTCAGATCATTTTTATGAGTTTCTATAATCTGAAGGTCTTCAAAAGTGTCTCTTGGGTTTCAGGGCTTCCAAGGTTTCTAAGTTGTGTTCTGTTATTTTTTCAGTGTACCATTGGGTTTCAGGGATTCTCCAGGTACCTAATGAGACACAAGCTCTCTTGTGCTGATTTCATGTATTATAGGGCCTTGCCAAGGGTCTCAATAAGTCTCAATAAAACAATCATAATATGAGTTTTTCCCATGAGTTTCATGTTATCCTTTCTTCCCTTGGCATGTTCTTGAACATCCCTAGCAGCTCAGTGTGGTTCAGAATATTTCTCAGGTTTTCAAGAAGCTGCTGGTTTTGCCCAGGGCCTCAGTGGGACTCATGGCCTGTGGGAAGTCCCTCTGAATGAACACACCTTCCAGTCCTGAGACATGGGGCTCTGACCAGTTACTACATTTCATAGTGACTTGGGTGTTGTCCCTCCTCAGATAGCAAGACATAGCTTCAGGTGTAGTGGTACCCACTGGGGTTGAGGTACACTCACCTGCTCCCTTGCAGTCCTAGTCCTTCCATCCTTTTTTGGACAGAACATTCTAAGAAATGCATCTCCCAAAATAAAAGTCCACTTCCAAACCTGCTTCCCTCTCTCTCTTCAGTCTCTTATAATTTTCTCTTGCTCTCCCTTTTGGAGAGCTTGAGGCTGAGAGCTGGGGAAAGCCATACTTAAGCTTGCATAATGGTAATTTGTTTCTGTGTTTCATTTTGCATCACTGCAATTTATACAAATGACCTCAGGTCAGCCTTCCATAGTGGATGGGCATAGAAATGGCCTTTACCACGCTTTTATTTTTCACGGGGCCTTTGCAGTGTCTCAGTCATGTCCAATGCTCTTGCCAGAGTCTCAACAGGGCTAGATAATTCCCCAAAGACACACTGGATTCAAGGTTATGCCAGGGTCTCAGTAAATCTCAGCATTTTTCCCAGTTCTCAGTTTAGTTTAGTGTCATTCCCAGAGTCAGAGTGTTTCTTGGGACCTCCCCAGCATTTTACTGAGTCTCAGTCCTAGTGCCCTAGTGCCTAGTCCTTAGTCACTAGGGACCCTGAAGATTCTTGCTGAGTCTCATATAAGGGTTGTGACTGTGGAAATGTAGAAGACAGAAAATTTGTCTAGTGAGCAAACTCCCAGAAAATACTAGGTATCTTATTTTTCACAGTGGGAACATTCTGCAGTTTCTCACAGAAACTATTAAGATAACTAATGCATGCTTGGCCAGAACTCCTATCTGATCATTAACAAGATCATCTTACATTATAACCTAATGCATCCAACTTAGTGATATAATGAACAATAATGTACTAATTGTGCCAGTGAGCTACTGTAACCTAATGGTATAAATAAAGACAGCTGCTTAGACAAGCAGCCATTTGTGTCTGTATCTTGCTTTTATTTTCATTTGCTTTCTTACAGCTGCTGCCCATGTGGTGTCTGAACATCTAAAACAGGGACCCTTCTGGACATGTTAATGGGGGAAGGGAGTAGCTTATCACCTGGAGTAGGTTGATACATATCTTTCATCAGCTGCTACTGATCCCCATTGGTAAGCTATGGGAAATTACCTATCTGATGCTTAACGATGTCACTGGGCTGAGCTCTCTTTTTTTATCTTACAAGGCTGGACATGCCATATGTAATGCTGACCTTGCTGCTTTGCTGTAAGAAGTAAGTTCTTGTTGCTTTTGGTACTCAGAAAGTGGTTATTTAAGTTGAGAAGATTGGGAAAATGTAGGTAAGAGGCTCACGAGAAGGTTCGAGCTCCCATTACATGCTTGTCCTCTTTGTCCAATGCTATTTGTCTCCCAGCAAACACCTCCTCCTCTGTCTGCTACCACCCACCTGTCACTTGTGATCCAGACATTCTTTATGGAGGTGTTCCCTCTGCCTTCAATGTCTCCTCCTCCTTCTCTGCTGCCACTACCACCACTGGTTAGATCTTGTTTGATGAATGTTTACCACAAATGGATCAGGAGGGAGAAACTCACACCTTTGCTGTTTGTCCTATTAGGCTAAATCCTGATGGACCGGCAGAGTATAAGCAATGATCTTTTGCTGCATAAATGCATTCAACTGTCATGTATAACTAATTAAAACAAATATATATTTTTTTAATAAAAAGAGCTGCTGGGGGAATGAGATGGATGGACATCATTACCCTAGGTAAGTGTATGACTGCACATATGGTGCAGTGCTACATTGTATACAACCATAGAAATGTAAAGTTGGACCGCAATTGTGTACAGTGAAACAAAATGCATTCTGCTGTCATATATACTTAATTAAAACAAATACATAAATAAAAAATAAATAAACAAGAATTTCCATCAGCTCTTTTGGAAAGTGGCAAAAAGGAGGAAAAGCATATTTTCAGCCTTCTCAAGATCCCATGACACAAATGTTCCCAATCCAGACACAGCTGTCTCTTCAGGTTCAAACAGAGCATCCTTCCAGAAATCCTTTCATGCCCCTAGAGGGAGAACTGGCATAGATTTAATTACTACAAAAAAGCCCAGTGTGGCTTCCTGGAGAGGTGTATAAAATTTTCACTCAAATTCAGAAGACTTTACCAAAAAAAAAAAAAAGCTTTTATATATATATATATATTTTTATAAAATATATACCCCAGGGTGGAGAAGATCAGGGTCACATGTTTCTGACCTAGGGTAAATGATGTCACTGAGAAATCTGGTGGTAGCTGATAAGGATTGAAAGAGGGTCAAAAGCTGCATAATTTAGTAAATTAATAGAGCAAATGAACAGGAATTCAGCCAGCCGAAACAAAGATGCACTCAAGCTGGAGAGCCTGATGAGGACCTGACATCCCATCACTTTCATCATTTCCTGAGCCTCTGCATGATCCTCACCACTCTCAAACTCTACCACCTCATCTGGACCTTAGTGAGAGCCACAACTTCTCCCCATGACCCCTCTCCTCACTGGTCATCCACTCCATGCCAGGAAAACCCTACCTTGGTTCCAGACCTGATCACCTTGGTCTGAGTGAGAGTACATCAGCTAGAGTTAGAGCCAAAGGCTTGCAGAGGAAATGTCTTTCATTAGACTATCATGGTTAAGTGTGTTTTGCAGTGCTTAGAGTTAATCTAGAATTTTTTGCTGTGAATTAATTAATCTAGAATTGTTTACTGGGAATTGATTATGTCCATTGCAGTGCCTAGCATTAAGGATTGTCTTTTTCTGGATTAAAAACTTATAAAATGAAATTGTATTGAGTATTTTGAGTGAATAAAGTATTGAAAGGCACAGAAGAGAGTGGACATTCTTATTCCTCCCCTCAACTGCATACATCACAATTTTACCCCCTCGTGACAATGGTGAAAGAGTGTGGCAGAGGGAAGAAACTCACATGGCCAATGTAAAGCAGAAGATAACTCCATTCACCAGATACAAAATATATATCAGAATGACATGACCCAAAAGTCCCAACTCCTCCAGCCACACCTCAACAGCCTTCAGTGACCACACAGTTAATTCAAAAGAGGGGACTGAATCACTGAGTATATTAAAGCTCTTAAGACACAATCATTTCTCCTCTGAACATTCTTGCATTGTCTCATGTGTAAAGGTTTGGAGTACACCTTACATTAAAACTATAACAAGAGTTGTGGACCTTTTCCATGGTCTCTTTGTGTCTCAGAGATTTGAGATCAACAATGAAGCTCATGGCTTCCTCATGCTCATTAGTGGTCCTCAGTGCCTTCCACAGAACATCCACAGTACTAAGGATACACTGAAATTCAGTGTGACTCAGAGCAATGTCTCTTGGCATTCAGGGTCTTCACAGGTATCTAATTTGGGTGCAGGACTCTTCCCAGTGAAAGATTTTGCAGATCTCTAACCAGCCTCACAGCATTTCATACTGATTCAATAGAGTGTGGTGCCTTTTCCAGAGCATCAGTGTGTTTCATGGTCTCCTCCCCTTTCACAGTCATGCTCAGGGTGTTTTCCCCAGAGTCTTAATGTTATCTTTCTTTTCCTTGGGTATTCAGGGGTGATCCTAGACATTCCCAGCATCTCAGTGTGGTTCAGAATGTTCCTCCAGGTTTTTAAAGAGCCCAAAGCCCTGCTTAGGGCCTCTGGGGATCTCATGACCATTACCATGCTCTCAGTGTTTGTCACGGCCTTTTGTAGGGTCTGAGTCATATTAAGTGCTATTCCCAGGGTGTCAGCTGAAATTAGGTAGTTCCTCAAGGGTACCGTGTTCAGGGTTTCTGCCAGGGTTTCAGAAAATCTCAGCACCTTTACTAGGTTCTCAGTAGAGTTCAGTGTTATTCCCAGGGTCACAGGATTGCTCAGGCCAGTTCAGAATCCTTTTGAGTCTCAGGGCATTTCCCAGGGTCACAGTGGTGCACAGAAACTTCTCCAGGGTGTGAGGGGTGTCATTTTCTTTCCAGGCTCTCAGTGAAGCTATAGTCTTCCTAGGTTACAATGGTGCTAAGGGCCTTCCCCAGAGCTTAGTGATCTTGAGCACCTTCTTCAGGGTATCAGAGGAGTTCAGGGTCTTTCCCAGTGCCAGTGGAACCCAGGGCCTACCCTAGAGTTTCAGGAGGACTCAATGTGTTCTCCAGAATTTCAATCTTGTTCAAGAGGTCCACATGGATTTCATGGTGCTCAGATTATTTCCAGGTGTTTAGAAAGTCTAAGGTCTCAACAAGATTCACAGAGTTGTCAAATTCATTCATGGTTGTCTCAATGGTGTTCAAAATTTTCCTCAATGTATTTGGAAGGCTAAGAGCCATTCTTAAGTGGACAGATGTATTCACAACCTTCCCAAGAGGGTTAGTGGTCTCATTGCCTTCCCAGGCTCTCATTGAAGCTCAGGACCTTCCAATGGTCACCACATGCTCAGGGCCTTACTGAGGGTCTCAATAGTTCTCATCACATTTTCCAGGCTCACTGAGTTTCAGAGCCATCCCCAGAGTCTCCTTTTCTTTCCTGTGTTTACAGGTTCACCATGAGGCTCAGTGCTAGTCTCAGAGTCTCAGTGATGTTCATTGCTTCTTCCAACCTCAGAATGAGGTTCTAGGTGTTCTCCAAGGTAATGGGTTTAGGGCCATTCAGGGTTTCTCAACAAAGCCCAGAGCACTACCCAAGGTCTCTGTAAAGCTCAGTGTCATTTCCAGCATCACAGTGGTGCTCAGCATCTTCCATAGAGTTTGATTAATTGTGTCAGGGCATTCCTAAGTGTCATGGTGAGGCCTAGGGTCTACCCTCCTCTTTCAGCAGGTGTAGAAACTGCACAATATATAGTGGTGCTTAGACTCTTCCCCAGTTTTCTGGAAACATAATGGCTCTTACTAGTGTCTCCAAGGGGAATAGTGCCTTGCCCAGTGTGTCATTGTAACAGAGAAATATTTCCATTGTCACAGTTGTGCTCAGTTCCCTCCCCACTGTGTCAGTGGCATTTGGGCCACTCCATTTTCTGAGTGTAAGCTCAGGGCTTTCTTCAAAGTTTAACTCTCACTCAGTGCTTTCCCCAATGACTTACTGGGTGCAGAGAATTCTCTAGGGGTGTTTTGTTTGTTTGTTTTGATTTCTCAGGTATAATTGGTTTTCAGATTTTCCCCAAAAACTTCTGTGTGCCTAAAGCCCTGAAATAGCTTCTCAGTGGGGTTTGTGGCTTGCACAGGGCCTAAGTGCATTTGTGGACCTTTCCCAGGATGTCCTTGTGTCTCAGTGCTTTTCGAACTCAACAAGGAAGCTCATGGCTCTCTTCTGTTTTTTACTGGGCCTCCATGCCTTCCACAGTATATCAGTAGTTCTTTTAATCCTCTCCAGGATCTCAGTGAGACAGAAGGCTGTCTGTAGTATTTCAAGGGTGTTTGCATGTTTTTAACAAGCGTGTGATTTAAAGGCCTTCAAAAGTGTGTCTTAGAATTCAGCCATTCACTGGTGTCTAACCGAGATTTAGGGATTTTCCCAGTGAATCACTGGAATTTAGAACTTCTCCAGGTCAGTATGAATCCCATGGCCTTTCATATGCCTTCAATGGAGTATGAATCTTTCCTTGCCCAGAATCTCAATGAGTTTTATGGTCTCCTCAATTCTCATAGTCATGTTTAGGGTGGTCTCCCAGAGTCTCAGTATTCTCCTTCCATTTCTCAGGCATTCAGTGGATCTCTTGAACATTCCCAGAATCTCAATGTGGTTCAGTATGTTCCCCAAATTTTCACAGAGACAAAATCATTGCCCAAATCCTCAGTAGACTCATTACCATTACTGGGCCCTTAGTTCTTCTCAGAATTTTTGCAGTGTCTCAGTCATGTTCAGTGCTATTCCCAGAGTCTCACCACAGCTTAAATATTTCCCCAAAGGTAGACTGGGTTCAGTGTCAGTAAATCTCAGCCCCTTTTCCAGGCCCTCGGTGGAGTTCATTGCCATTCCCAGGGTCACAGTTGTTCCCAAGGCCTTCTTCACAGTCATATTGGTGTCATTGCTTTTCCAAGCAGTCAGTGAAGCTATAGTTTTCCTAGGTTACACTGATGACCAGGGTTTACCCCTTTTCTACCTGACACTCAGGGCCTTCTCCATGATATCAGTGGAGCTCAGGGGCTTTTGTTTTTATTTTTTGTTTTGTTTTTTTGTTTTTGTCAGTGAGTTTCATGACCTATTCTAGGGTCTCAGGAGGGCTCAAGGCCTTCCTCAGAATTTCAGTCATGTTTAGAAACCTCCACATGTTCTTCATGGTGCCCAGATTATTGCCCACTGCTTAGAAGAGGGTGATGGCCTCAATAAATGTCCCAGTGTTTTAATCACTGTTTGCTCAGTGGTGTTAAAATTTCTTCAGAGTCTTAAGAATGCTAAAGGCCTTCCTTAGGTTGGCAGATGTATTCACAGTCTTCCTAGGAGTCTTTGTGGTCTCATGACCTTCACAGGGTGTAAGTGCAGATGAGCACCATTCCCATGATCACTTTGTGCTCAGGTTCCTTCCTAGGGTCTTAATAGGTCTCATTGCCTTTTCTATACCTCCCTGGACTTCAGAGCCATCCACAGTGTCTCCTTTTTTTCTTGATTTTCTTGACTTTCCCCATAGGCTCAGTGCTATTTTCAGAATATCAGCTGATGTTCAGTGTTTCTTCCAGAATCAGAGTGACACTGAATCTTCCCAATGGAAACATTGGGTTCAGGGTCTTTCAACATTTTTTACTGAATCCAAGGGACTCTTCC